AAACATACACACACACACACGAGGTTCACGAACAGGGGAGGACACACACACGAGGTTCACGTACAGGAGAGGACACACACACACACACACACACACACACACACACACACACACACGAGGTTCACGTACAGGGGAGGACACACACACTAGATTCACGTACAGGGGAGGACACACACACACACACACGCGCGGCTTACGTACAGGGGAGGACACACACACACGAGGCTAACGCACAGGGAAGGACACACACATAAAGGTTTGCAACAAGACTAGCCCCAGAGCTAAGGGGATTGTCCTATGAAGAAAGGTTAAGGGAAATTGACCTGACGACACTAAGCGTGTGTGCGCACACACACACACACACACACACACACACACACACAGTATTTCTTCAGCCACAGAGTAGTCAGTAAGTGGAATAGTTTGGGAAGCGATGTAGTGAAGGCAGGATCCATACATAGCTTTAAGCAGAGGTATGATAAAGCTCACGGTTCAGGGAGAATGACCTAGTAGCGATCAGTGAAGAGGCGGGGCCAGGAGCTCGGACTCGACCCCCGCAACCTCAACTAGGTGAGTACAACTAGGTGAGTATACACAGACACACACACATCTGACGACATTGGAGGACAGGAGGGTCAGGGGAGACATGATAATAACATATACATTAATGCGAGGAATTGACAAGGTAGACAAAGACAGGATGTTCCAGAGAAGGGACACAGAAACAAGGGGTCACAATTGGAAATTGAAGACTCAGATGAGTCAAAGGAATGTTAGGAAGTATTTCTTCAGTCATTGAGTTGTCAGGCATTGGAATAGCCTAATGAGTGATGTAGAGGAGGCGAGGTTTGATAAAGCTCATGGAGCAGGGAGAGAGAGGACCCAGTAGCAATCAGTGAAGAGGAGGGGCCAGGAGCTATGAATCGACCCCTGCAACCACAAATAGGTGAGTAAAAGTAGGTGAGCACACACACACGAAGTTCATGAACTCAACATGGACCAAAACATTACGCACAAGGAACGACAAACACACACACACATAGGTGAGTACATAACACATACAAACGTACATTCATATATATATATGCATACATACAAACAAACGTACATTCATTCGTATGTACATACATACAATGATGAGAATTAAATCTGATGAAGATCAGGCAGGACTACAAAGAGACCTGGACAGACTGAACACGTGGTCCAGCAACTGGCTTCTCGAAATCAACCCCGCCAAATGCAAAGTCATGAAGACTGGGGAAGGGCAAAGAAGACCGCAAACAAAATAGAAGTTAGTTGGCCAAAGACTGCAAACCTCAATCAAGGAGAAAGATCTTGGGGTGAGCATAACACCGAGCATGTCTCCGGAACCACACATCAACCAGATAACTGCTGCAGCATATGGGCGCCTGGCAAACCTGAGAATAGCGTTCCGACACCTTAGTAAGGAATCATTCAAGACACTGTACACTGTGTACGTCAGGCCCATACTGGAGTATACAGCACCAGTTTGGAACCCACACCGGGTCAAGCACGTCAAGAAATTAGAGAAAGTGCAAAGGTTTGCAACAAGGTTAGTTCCGGAGCTCAGGGGAATGTCCTTCAAAGAAAGGTCGAGGGAAATCGGCCTGACGACACTGGAGGACAGAAGGGTTTGAGGAGACATGATAACGACATACAAAATACTGCGTGGAATAGAAAAAGTGGACAGAGACAGGATGTTCCAGAGAGGGGACACAGAAACAAGGGGCCACAATTGGAAGCTGGAGATTCAGACGAGTCAAAGGGATGTTAGGAAGTATTTCTTCAGTCAAAGAGTTGTCAGGAAGTAGAATAGTCTAGCAAGTGATGTAGTGGAGGCAGGAACCATACATAGCTTTAAGACGAGGTATGATAAAGCTCATGCAGCAGGGAGAGAGAGGACCTAGTAGCGTTCAGTGAAGAGGCGGGACCAGGAGCTGAGTCTCGACCCCTGCAACCACAATTAGTTGAGTACATACTGCAAACCTCACCTTGGAGTTAATATCATACCAAGTATATCACTTGAGGCAAACATCAACCTGATAACTGCTGCAGCAAATGTTCACCTGGCTAACCTAACACTAGCTTTTAGACATCTAAATAAGAAATCATTCATGACGCTGAACACTGCGTGTACGTCAGGTCCATATTGGAGTATCCAGCACCAGTATGGAACACACACGTGGTCAAGTATATCAAGAAATTGAACACACACGTGGTCAAGTATATCAAGAAATTGAACACACACGTGGTCAAGTATATCAAGCAATTGAACACACACGTGGTCAAGTATATCAAGAAACTAACCTCACACGTGGTCAAGTTTAGAGGTTTGCAACAAGAATATTCCCGGAGCTAAGGGGTATGTCCTATGAGGAGACGTTAAGCCGGGGACTCAACCTGATGACAATGGAGGACAGAAAGCAGACGGAATATGATAACGTTCAAAATACTGAGAAAAAATTGAAAAAATAAACAGGGAGAGAATGTTAAGAGATGGGAAACAAGAAAACGAAGTTATAGTTGGAACATAAAAATTCAGATGAGTCATAGGGATGTTAGGAATTATTTCTTCAACTTTAGTCAGGAAGTGGAACAAACTGGAGAGAATGAAGTGAACGAACGGAGAGTGGAATGACAGAAGATTAATATTCTTAAGAGAGGTGCAACTGAAGATGGAAGTGAAACGAACTGGAGAGTGAAATGGTAGAGAGAAGATTAATATGTAGCTTTAAGAAGAGGTGCAATAAAGCTATCGAAGCCAGACGGGCGAAGAGGCAGAGCCAAGAGCTGTGAGTCAACCCTTGCAACCACATACAGGCGAGTGGTTATATATTTTAAACAATGAAGACGGGTGACTGAGAGCAGAGAGAACAGTGATCTGGTTGATACAACAGTTAATAACACTCACACACTCACACCTAGACACTAACTATGCACATCCAAGTATATGACTACCTGGCCTGGATGTCCTATTACATGACTACCTGGCCTGGATTTCCTAGTACATGACTACCTGGCCTGGATGTCCTAGTACATGACTACCTGGCCTGGATGTCCTAGTACATGACTACCTGGCCTGGATGTCCTAGTACATGACTACCTGGCCTGGATGTCCTAGTACATGACTACCTGGCCTGGATGTCCTAGTACATGACTACCTGGCCTGGATGTCCTAGTACATGACTACCTGGCCTGGATGTCCTAGTACATGACTACCTGGCCTGGATTTCCTAGTACATGACTACCTGGCCTGGATGTCCTAGTACATGACTACCTGGCCTGGATGTCCTATTACATGACTACCTGGCCTGGATGTCCTAGTACATGACTACCTGGCCTGGATGTCCTAGTACATGACTACCTGGCCTGGATGTCCTAGTACATGACTACCTGGCCTGGATGTCCTAGTACATGACTACCTGGCCTGAATGTCCTAGTACATGACTACCTGGCCTGGATGTCCTAGTACATGACTACCTCGCCTGGATGCCCTAGTACATGACTACCTGGCCTGGATGTCCTAGTACATGACTACCTGGCCTGGATGTCCTAGTACATGACTACCTGGCCTGGATGTCCTAGTACATGACTACCTGGCCTGAATGTCCTAGTACATGACTACCTGGCCTGGATGTCCTAGTACATGACTACCTCGCCTGGATGCCCTAGTACATGACTACCTGGCCTGGATGTCCTAGTACATGACTACCTGGCCTGGATGTCCTAGTACATGACTACCTGGCCTGAATGTCCTAGTACATGACTACCTGGCCTGGATGTCCTAGTACATAACTACCTGGCCTGGATGTCCTAGTACATGACTACCTGGCCTGAATGTCCTAGTACATGACTACCTGGCCTGGATGTCCTAGTACATAACTACCTGGCCTGGATGTCCTAGTACATAACTACCTGGCCTGGATGTCCTAGTACATGACTACCTGGCCTGGATGTCCTAGTACATGACTACCTGGCCTGGATGTCCTAGTACATAACTACCTGGCCTGGATGTCCTAGTACATGACTACCTGGCCTGAATGTCCTAGTACATGACTACCTGGCCTGGATGTCCTAGTACATAACTACCTGGCCTGGATGTCCTAGTACATGACTACCTGGCCTGAATGTCCTAGTACATGACTACCTGGCCTGGATGTCCTAGTACATGACTACCTGGCCTGGATGTCCTAGTACATGACTACCTGGCCTGAATGTCCTAGCACATGACTACCTGGGCTGGATGTCCTAGTACATAACTACCTGGCCTGGATGTAAGATGTCATTTTTTTGTTTCATTTGATGTGCTTAATAAAGCTAATTTACGAGGAAACTTGTACCAGTTAAGAACTCCTCTCATTTTTTTATTTACATAATCTTCATTATTTTGCTTTATCATTTATATTCCTAAACTATCCAAACAATGGCTGTATGAAATATACAGCTGTAAACACACTAAGTTTGTATAATGAGGGATATGTACGTGCGTCAAGATGATGTCATTGTACACATATTAAATGTGAGTGACCAAGTTGATGGGGCGGGGTGTGCGGACTCTTGTTTGGAATGGGGTGCTTGGCAGTGAAATTTTAAGTATCTTTGTGTTAGTCACTGTCGGCGTTATCACGTTCAGATATAAACGCACTGTTAATTTATTCTTAGTGTGTCAGCAGTGCCTCAGGCCTTGTTAAGTGATAATAGTAATACTTAACGTTCTCAGTGATTAAAAAAAAAGTCCAGCTGAAGGATGGAGAAACAGTACACGGCTGAAAATGTTACCAAACGCGAGCTTAAACGTAAGAAACTTAGCAAAATTGTGTTCCATATTTTACAGACATCCTGTAGGCAACATCACCGCCATACAACATAACCGTCAGCTTGAGACAAATTCTAAATATTTTACAAAGTTTCACTTAAGCGGAAGAATTCTTATCCAATGAAAGATGACACTGAAGAGACAATACACTCTCACTACTAACCTGCTCGTGTTCTCTAAACTGTTCCTCTCGTCTTCTCTGCATCTCTTGCTCCTTCAGCTGAAATATAAGAATAACCACTAAGCGAAGCAGTAGTATCAACAGCATCTACTTATATCCAGGGAAATAAACACAAGAGCTCTCTTAAACTGTTAGTGGGATGCAATGAATAAACATTTAAAATGGGTGCGTGTAAAGTTTATATTAAAATATCAACCTTTATATAATGAATAGAAAAGATTAAAAACAATATTTTCAATTTATATTATATATATATATATATTATATATATATATATATATATATTATATATATATATATATATATATATATATATATATATATATATATATGTCGTGCCGAATATGTAAAACTGGTCAGTTAGCAAGAACTCATTTAAAATTAAGTCCTTTCTAAAATTTTCTCTTATACGTTTAAACATATATTTTTTTCATTAATGTTAATGCAGAAATTTTTAATTTTGATCCAAAAGAATCTTAGAAAACTTACCTAACCTTATTATAACAAGAACAATTTATTTTAGTCTAACCCAACTAAATATATTTTAGATTTGTTTACAATAATTTAATATTAAACAAACACAGTGAAATATATTTTTTTTTCGTTAGGTTCAGAATGATTTTGGCGAAATTATTGCATACACGAATTTTCACTTGTCCTATATGGCAAGATGAGCGTTGCTATTTAAGCCACGATCGCAAGTTCTGCCTATTCGGCACGACATATATATATATATATATATATATATATATATATATATATATATATATATATATATATATATATATATATATATATATATATATATATACGCAAATAAGATCACAGTAAACAGGTGATATCACAATATGCAGAACAACCACTGTGAAAAATAGTAGAATTCCAAGCGTTTTCGTGATTTATCACATTATCAAGGAGCTGTAAAAATAAAAAAATCAACAAGAAGACTTTTTATGATGATGTAAGTGAAACACAGTTATAGTCTAGCAAAACATGAAGAATTTAACTTGTCTAATGTATCCTAAATTCTTCCCAGATTTTATTAAGTATAAAGGAATCCAGTTTGTATAACACAAAAACAATATTCATATTATTTTCTTTTGAAAAGTGAAGAGAGTGGCGAGAGAGTGCAAAAGGAGAGCAGATGATAGAGTGGGAGAGGTACTCTAAAGAAATTTTGACGAAAACAAGAACAAATTTTGGAGTGAGATAAACAAGTTAAGAAAGCCTAGGAAACGAATGGATTTGTCAGTTAAAAAACAGAGTAGTGGAGTTAGTAGATGGGGAGCTGGAGGTATTGAGTAGATGGAGGGAATATTTTGAGGAACTTTTAAATGTCGACGAAGAAAGGGAGGCGGTAATTTAATTCTCTGGCCAGGGAGGTATACCATCTTTTAGGAGTGAAGAAGAACAGGATGTGAGTGTGGTGGAGGTGCGTGAGGCATTACGTAGAATGAAAGGGAGTAAAGCAGCTGGAACTGACAGGATCATGACAGAAATGTTAAAAGCAGGGGGATATAGTGTTGGAGTGGTTGGTATTTTTGTTTAGTAAATGTATGAAAGAGAGAAGGGGATGTGTAGATCAAGTGTTTACATTGAAGCATATATGTGAACAGTATTTAGAGAAAGGTAGGGAAGTTTTTATTGCATTTATGGATTTAGAAAAGGCATATGATAGTGGATAGGGGAGCAATGTGGAAGATGTTGCAAATGTATGGAGCAGGTAGAAAGTTACTAAATACTGTAAAGAGCTTTTATGAGGATAGTGAGGCTCAGGTTAGGGTGTGTAGAAGAGAGGGAGACTACTTCCCGGTAAAAGTAGGTCTTAGACAGGGATGTGTAATGTCACCATGGTTGTTTAATATATTTATAGATGGGGTTGTAAAAGAAGTAAATGCAAGAGTGTTGGAGAGAGAGGTGGGATTAAATTATAGGGAATCAAATACAAAATGGAAGTTGTCACAGTCACTTTTTGCTGATGATACTGTTCTTATGGGAGATTCTAAAGAAAAGTTGCAAAGGTTAGTGGATGAGTTTGGGAGTGTGTGTAAAGGTAGAAAGTTGAAAGTGAACATAGATAAGAGTAAGTTGATGAGGGTATCAAATGATTTAGATAAAGAAAAAATGGATATCACATTGGAGAGAGGGAATATGGAAGAAGTGATTTTTTTCAGATATTTGGGAGTTGACGTGTCAGCGGATGGGTTTATGAAGGATGAGGTTAACCACAGAACTGAAGGAAACTTGGTGAGTGGTGCGTTGAGGTATCCGTGGAGACAAAAAACGTTATCTATGGAGGCAAAGAAGGGAATGCATGAATGTGTAGTGGTACCAACACTCTTATATGGGTGTGAAACTTGGGTTGTAAATGCTGCAGCGTGGAGGCGGTTGGAGGCAGTGGAGATGTCCTAACTGAGGGCAATGTGTGGTGTATATATTATGCAAAGAATTCAGAGTGTGGAGTTAATAAAAGTATTAGTCAGAGGGTTGAAGAGGGGTTGTTGAGGTGGTTTGGTCATTTAGAGAGAACAGATCAAAGTAGAATGACATGGAGAGCGTATAAATCTGTAGGGGAAGGAAGGCGGGGTAGGGGTCGTCCTCGAAAAGGTTGGAAAGGGGGGAGGGGTAAAGGAGGTTTTGTGGGCGAGGGGCTTGGACTTCCAGCAAGCGTGCATGAGCGTGTTAGATAGGAGTGAATGGAGACGAATGGTTTTTGGGACCTTACGAGCTGTTGGAGTGTGAGCAGGGTAATATATAGTGAAGGGATTCAGGGAAACCGGTTATTTTTATATAGCCGGACTTGAGTACTGGAAATGGGAAATACAATGCCTGCATTTTAAAGAAGGGGTTTGGGATATTGGCAGTTTGGAGGGATATATATTTGTATATGCTTCTAAACTGTTGTATCTGGGCGCCTCTGCAAAAACAGTGATTAGGTATGAGGTGAAAGTGTTGAATGGTGATGAAAGCATTTTTGGGGGGCCTTTTCTTTCTTTTTGGGTCACCCTGCCTCGGTGGGAGACGGCTGACTTGTTGAATATATATATATATATATATATATATATATATATATATATATATATGCAATAAGATCACAGTAAACAAGTGATTTCAGAATATGCAAAACAACCACTCTGAAAGAATAGAGAAATTCCAAGCGCTTTCGTGACTACTCACATTATCAAGGAACTACATAGTTCCTTGATAATGTGAGTAGTCACGAAAGCGCTTGAAATTTCTCTATTCTTTCACAGTGGTTGTTTTGCATATTATATATATATATATATATATATATATATATATATATATGTGTCGTGCCGAATATGTAAAACCGGTCAATTAGCAAGAACTCATTTAAAATTAAGTCCTTTCTAAAATTTTCTCTTATACGTTTAAAGATATATTTTTTTCATTAATGATAACGTAAAAAAATTTAATTTTGCACCAAAAGAATCTTAGAAAACTTACCTAACCTTATTATAACAAGAAAAATTTATTTTAGCCTAACCTAACTAAATATATTTTAGATTTGTTTACAATAATTTAATACTAAACAAGCACAGTGAAATATATTTTTTTTCGTTAGGTTCAGAATGATTTTGGCTAAATTATTGCATACACAAATTTTCACTTGTCCTATACGGCAAGATGAGCGTTGCTATTTAAGCCAAGATCGCAAGTTCTGCCTATTCGGCACGACACACACACACACACACACACAATATATATATATATATATATATATATATATTATATATATATATATATATATATATATATATATATATATATATATATATGTATATATATATGTTATAAATCCTGGTAATAAATACCGACAAGTTGGTCTACAAAAACACGTAAGCAAACACTAGGACATATTTATTAGAAAACGTTTCGGTCCTGAGACCTTGATCACTTCTAACACACAGAGGTTAAAAGACAGTATATATAGGCGAAGAGTGAGGTGTGAGTGACGCATGATGACCTGAGTGAGGTGTGAGTGACGCATGGTGACCTGAGTGAGGTGTGAGTGATGCATGGTGACCTGAGTGAGGTGTGAGTGATGCATGGTGACCTGAGTGAGGTGTGAGTGACGCATGGTGACCTGAGTGAGGTGTGAGTGATGCATGGTGACCTGAGTGAGGTGTGAGTGATGCATGATGACCTGAGTGAGGTGTGAGTGACGCATGATGACCTGAGTGAGGTGTGAGTGACGCATGGTGACCTGAGTGAGGTGTGAGTGATGCATGGTGACCTGAGTGAGGTGTGAGTGATGCATGGTGACCTGAGTGAGGTGTGAGTGATGCATGGTGACCTGAGTGAGGTGTGAGTGACGCATGGTGACCTGAGTGAGGTGTGAGTGACGCATGGTGACCTGAGTGAGGTGTGAGTGATGCATGGTGACCTGAGTGAGGTGTGAGTGACACAAGGTGACCTGAGCGAGGTGTGAGTGACGCATAGTGACCTGAAGAATGCCATATTGGGATGAGGACGGGTAGACGATGAGATCATGTGACTCCTGTGTTGCTGGGCAGGTGGTGCTTTGTCTGGTTGATTATCATGTATGCTAATGTTTTAGAAGTTTTGTAGCTTCCAGTGTTGCGCTCTATGGCAGGGCTACTCAACTGGCGGCTCACGGTCTGACCGGACCTTCTGTGTGTCGTAGTTGGAGCTCGGTCTTCAGGTGAGCTTAGCTAAATAACACGTGTTGTTTTACCACGTTCAGGAGCGGGATTAATACATTATTCTATCTGAATGGAATGTATACACTGAATGGAAGACAGTATTCTAGCAGAGCTAAATAGTTATATTTTCTTCCATTCAATGGTAATTCATATTGGTAATTATCACACGTGCAATGAAGTTGACTTTTTTGCCATTTTGGAAAAAGAGTTTGGCCGCATATAGGCTGGGAAGTCTGGCCCCTCTGGTGCAACTTTGAATTTCGTGAAATTCATAGTTGCATGTGTGCAAGGTATGATTCCGGGTTTTCTCATTTTCTTTTTAGCAAGTTCGATTTTAATTTGCTGTGTCCACCTCTTTTATGAATTAGTACGTTGGTGGGACATTTAGTATTGAATCATTGTGATCAAATTCTTCACATCAATATTTAACCAAACTGGTTAAAAATTTTCCTCATTCTGGTTGTTCCTAATTTATGTGGAGTGGATATAAAAATGTTTTATTTTAATATAGATAATGTTCAGTAATAAACACATTTCATAATACAGAGGACAACTGCTCACCAAGTTTGTGTTTATTAAAGTAAAGTGATTGATATTTTCATATTTACGCTTTGAACACATTGTCTATCAAAGACCTCACTACGAAACTCAGCCCCACACCTCTAACTTCCACAACAGACGTCTACACCATCCCTGTGGATACTGTCCCAAGAAATATGTAGGCGAAACAGGCAGAGATCTTGCGGTCCGCCTGAACGAGCATCAAAATATCAGCAGCAGAGACGACTTAAGGTACGCCTGTGTCCTCCACAGGGACTCCACTGGGCATTTGATGACCTAGTATGAGGCACAACTCGTTCTCATTGAACAATACCTTAGACGTCAACGTTGTCTAAAAGCCTCGCTAATCGCTGTCACCGACACCATAGAGCGTAACGCTGGAAGCTACAAAACTTCTAAAACATTAGCAAACATGATATTCAACCAGGCAAAGCACACCTACCCAGCAACACAGGAGTCACATGATCTCATCGTCTACCCGTCCTCATCCCAATATGGCATTCTTCAGGTCACCATGCGTCATTCACACCTTGCTCAGGTCACCATGTGTTACTCACACCTCGCTCAGGTCACCATGTGTCACTCACACCTCACTCTCCGCCTATATATACTGTCTTTTAACCTCTGTATGTTAGAAGTCATCAAGGTCCCAGGACTGAAACGTTTTCTAATAAATTTGTCATAGTGTTTGCTTACATATTTACACACTGTGAAAGAGTAGTGAAATTCCAAGTGCTTTCGTGACTTCTCACATTATCAAGGAGCTATAAAAGTAATACATCAAAGGAAGGCATATAAAGGGTCTAGACCACACCTCACCATCACATCCCACAACAAAGCAACACCTGACGTGCGACGACATCCGACTCATAAGAAAGGAGGAACACTGCAGCAGGCCCGCTGGCCCAACTAGACAGCTTCACGACATTCAACTAACAAAATATTCTACTCAAAAATTAAGATTTATTATTTGTCCAATGTATTATTAAATTCTTCCCAAATTTTATTAATTATTAATGGATCTAATTTATATAAACCACAGGAAATATTCATATTATTTTCAAAACTGCTTTTTATGAAACAAGATTCAATTATATTCCTGTCAACCATGGACTTGCTTGATACAACTTTCTCAACTTTTTGAAAATCAATTGGATGGTTAAAATCTCTCACATGAATAAATAGAGCATTGGAATCTTGTCCAGTTCTAATGCTATATTTATGTCGTTTTAATCTAAGTTCGAGACTTTTAATAGTTTGACCGTAATAAACTTTATCGCAAATTTTACAAGGAATCTTATAGACACATCCGTCAGCATTTTGGAGGGAATTCTTTATCAAAATTTTTTTTTACTGTATCAAGATTTTTAAATACAACCTTGATATTAAAAGTCTTAAGAAGAGAAGGCATATCAACCAAGTTTTCCTGGTAAGGGAGAACCAACATATTTTTTGTTGAAGTATTTCTAGCAATTTTAAAAGATTTATCAATTACGTTTCTTGGGTATTTCAAATCATTACCTATTTCATAAATTTTGAATATTTCTTCATCTATGAACTCAGGACTACAAATGAACAAAGATCTCAAAAACATTGATGAGAAAACAGAATAATAATAGTGTACAGAATAATAGTGTACATAGGAACAGTTATTTGTAGGTTTTCTGTAAATTTTAAATTTGAAATCATTATTACCCTTAATAATTAAAACATCTAGTAAAGGCAAAGAGTTATTTTCCTCAAATTCAACAGTAAAGTTTATAGAAACAGTAAAGTTTATATGCATACATAAATTATGAACTCATACATACGCAGATTAAAAGCAGCAAGGTGAGCGTTGTACGTCTGAGCCTTATACTGAGGTCTTCTTCAGCAGGTAAGGTACAAAGACGGTCAGAAAAACTACACATGAGACCATACTCCTCAGTGGGAAGCCACAAACATTACCCAAAAATCTAACTGTACTGCTGAACAGAATTTTTGAAGCAGCACTGACCTCAATATATCTGAAGGAATTGAGAACCAGAAACAATCCCTATTTTTGCCTTAAAATCCTGCATCTCTGCCCAAAATGTATTGTTCCCAATGTTTCTTCCGACGCCGAGTTAAAGTAATGAGATAAAAGATAAAAGAAGAAATCAATGCTAAAACTCTGATGTCAAATTGTTCAACAGAACAAAGAGACGAATCTCGAGCTTGCTGGTCCCTGCTTTTTCTTCGAGTAAATAATACCAACCAGGGTGAGGGGCATCCTCTTATATAAAGTTGACTTTCCTCCTCTGTACTCTACCTGCTACAGAACGTCTCGTTAGGATGCGTAAATATACAGGTCCCATGTCTCTATGTATTTCCTTCTGTCTCCTTACGAGATTATATGGAAGAAATTACTGTAAAACATGTAATTGCCAATATACAAAATTATCTCAGTGAAAAGAGGAGATGAAACCTGAGCGCTTTCATGTGCTTACATATATCTTCAGAGAATGATGTGTAAACACCAGAAAGCGTTCATGTTTATTTCCTATTTTTACTGTGTTATTTTTACACGAATTTATATATGTACATCCATACTAGTAATAAAGGGCACACTGTGATGTAGGAAAGAGAGGTGTATAGGGTGAAGCATGCTTGCTACGTCAGGGAATGACTTACCCTCTCGATGGCCTCCTGAAGTCCTGAGTCCCGGACGGGCCCGGAAGAGCCAGGCGTGCCGGGGGCAGAGGCGGAGACGAAGGCGGCATTAGAGTGGCTGCTGGAGTGAGAGTGCGTGGAGTGGGAACCACGGGAGGAGGCGGGGGAGGAGTAACCGGGCAGCATGACCAGGGGCGTGGTGCTCACTCCAGCCTCGCCGTAGTTCTGCTGGGACCACCAGGGCATGCAGGGTTATAACACATGCAGGGCAGGGGCAGGGCAGGGCAGGACACTACACTCACTGCTCCTCTATACTCTCTTCTCCCACAGTTCGTGTTATGATATCTGTGTTATTGTGTCTAAATAGTTAGCGTACCACCAGCTACCTTCACACATCACCAGACACCACCAGCTACCTTCACACATCACCCGACACCACCAGCTACCTTCACACATCACCAGACACCACCAGCTACCTTCACACATCACCAGACACCACCAGCTACCTTCACACATCACCAGACACCACCAGCTACCTTCACACATCACCAGACACCACCAGCTACCTTCACACATCACCAGACACCACCAGTTACCTTCACACATCACCAGACACTACCAGTTACCTTCACACATCACCAGATACCACACAGTTACAAAATGAAGCAAGACTACAGTAAAAAAAAAAGGTAATTCACCTGAAGGAGGAAGGCGGAGAGCTCATGAGAAATGGCAAGTCTGCAAAGTGTTGATCAAACAATATGAAGAAATGTTCTCAGTGGAAACAGGCAATGCCAAAAGCCTAGGGAACAGGTCACACTGACAGGTACTAGCTGACACACACAACAGGTGGGAGACGTGAAGGAACTTCTGACGGACCTGGACACACCCAAGGCAACAGAACCTGAGAAGGTACCACTATGGACCCTGCTAGAGGGAGCAAGAACACTCTGAACCACTATGATCTACAACCAGTCAACGGACACCGTACAGTTGCCAGAAATCTGGAAGACACAGAATGTAGTCTCTATATTCAAGGAAGGAGACAAAGATCATTAAACCACAGACACAAATTTTCTGATAAGCATACCATGGAAGATAATGGAGAAGATTATCAGTAGTGTGGTAGATCACACGGAGAGAAGTTATCTCAAAACAACAACCAGCACGGGTTCAGAGATGGCAAATCTTGTCTTATCAATCTGTTGGAGTTCCATGACAAGACAAGAGATACGAGATATGAGAGAGAGGGATGAGTAGATTGCATTTCCTTAGACGGCAAGAAGACATTTGATACTATTCCCTACAAGATTTAGAAAAAAAAAACTGGGATGAAGGTACGAATAACAGGGAACATGCTGCGGTGGAAGGAAACAGGGAGTGATTGTTAGGGAAAAGATGTTAGAAATGGGAAGACTAATTAGCACAGTTCTGTAAGGAGCAGTATTAGGACCAGTACTGTTTCTGGTTTATGTGAATGACATTCCAAATGCAAGGTTACGAAGCAAATGCAAGGTTATGAAGACTGGGAAAGGGGGCAAGAAGACCGCACACAGAGTATAGACTTGGGGGACAGACACTGAAGACTCCACTCACAGAAAAAGACCTAGGGGTGAATCTCACATCAGCCGAATAACTTCTACAGCCAATACTCGTTTGGCAAATCTAAAGATTGGCTTTCATCATTCTCCACAGAGTCATTCTTGGCTCTTTATACAACGTATGTCAGGCCCATCTTGGAGAATGTAGCACTAGTATGAAACCCACACCAGAGAAAGCATATTAAGAAATTGAAGAAAGTTCAGACGTATGCAGTGAGACTTGTTACAGAACTAAGGTGCATGAGCTACGAAGAGAGATTAACGAAATTGAATCGAACGACACCGGAAGGTAGAAGAACCAGGAAAGATATGATAATATTCAAAATTTTCAGCGCTGTCCGAGGCACGTTGAAAGGCGAGAAACAGGTACTCGGGGGCACAGCTGGAAATTAATGGCACAGGTGAGCCACAGGGATGCCAGGAAGTATTTCAGTCTCAGAGCAGTCGGGAAGTGGAATGTCCTCGACGAAGATGTGGTAGAAGCAGGATCCATCCTAACCCGCGAATCTGGCAAGCGGGGCCAGGAACTAGGTCTCGTCCTCTACAGCTACAAATAAGTGTATACACACACACACACACACATATCAATCAAGACACTGGAAAGCAACAAATAGGGAGTGGAAGATAAGATGCCAAGGCTCACAGGAGAGAATGTTTTCCTTCAAAAAACAAAGGAAAATTTTCGTTTCAAAAATACAGCAAAATTTTAGGAAGCAGAGAGCCATTACCCCCAAACAAGCCTCCAGAGAGAGCTTCAACCCAAGGTATCCAACACACAAGGATACCCAACTTAGCTAACCCGTGGGTGTATTTGAAGTTTGGAGCTGGAGGCTACCCCTCCGACATCCCAGGAGTATGTGTCAAACGTGGGTATGACATCGGGGGGCCCGGGGTATCATGAGACTCAGAGACTAGTGAATCAAAAACCGTAAATAATTAATATGTTTTTCATTCTACAAGGCCATATTAGGCACTCTGTTATATTTTTAACCCGTGTCATTTTTATAGAATCTCTAATGAACGACTCGGGGTCATCACCACTCAGCGAGTCATCACACACCAGGGGTCATCACACACTCAGGGGTCTCAACACTCGCGGTATCACCACCCAGGGTCATCCCCACACCAGCGGTCATCCACACTCAGCGGTCCCTCAAACTCCAGCGGTCATAAAAACCCCTCAGCGGTTTATCACACCTCGCGGGTCATCACACACCAGGGTCATCACACATCAGCGGTCTCACACTCAGGGAGTTTACACACACTCAGGGGTCATCACACACCAGCGGGTCATCACACCTCAATCACACACATCGCAGGGCATCCACTCAGCGGGCCCCCTTTACACACTCACGGGGCATCAACATAAAGGGGGCTCACACACACACAGCAGGTCATCACACTCAGCGGGTTTGCACACTCCAGCGGGCAAAAACTCGCGGGTCTTCACACAAGGGGCATCACCACTCAGCGGTCATCACACACTCAGCGGGCATCACACACTCAGCAGGTCATACACTCGCGGGGGCTCACACACTCAGCGGGTCATCACCACTCAGGGGTCATCACAACAACAGCGGTTTATCACACTCCGGGTCTAAAACCTCACGGGGATCCAAAACTTTGCGGGTATCACACCCAGGGGTCCACACACTAGGGGGGCTCAACCCCTCGGGGGCTACACACTCAACGGTCATCCCTCAGGGGGGGTCACACCAGGGGTCATCACACACTCACGGGGGATCACCATCAGGGGTCATACACACTCAGGGATCACACACCAGGGTCATCACACCAGCGGGTCTCCACCCGCGGGTCTCACACACAGCGGGTCATCCACTCAGGGGTATCACACACTCGGTCTCACACATCAGCGGTCACCCTCAACGGGTCTCCCCACTCAGCGGGGCATCACACACTCAGCGGGGGCCCTCACACCTCAGGGGTCATAAACCCCTCAGCGGTCACACACACCAGCGGTTTATCCACACTCAGGGGGTCATCCCAAATGCGGGTCATCATATACTCAGCGGGTCATTAACACCAGGGGTCATCACACACTCAGCGGGTCATACACATCAGCGGTCACACACTCAGCCGTCTCACACTCGCAGGTTTTCAACACTCAGCGGGTCACACACACCAGCGGGGCATCCAAAAACTCGGGGGCATCACCACTCAGGGGTCATCAACACTCGCGGGGGGCATTTAACACTCAGGGGGTATCACAACCAGCGGGGTTTTTTTTTTTTTCCCCATCAGGGGGATCAACCTCAGGGTCTCCCCACTCAGGGTCTCACACACTCACGGGGATTACATAGCGGTCCCTAAAAAACACCCCAGCGGGTCATCCCCCCCCTCAGGGTCATCCCCACAATCGGGTCAACCACTCACGGGTTTACACCCCCAAGGGGGGCATCACACACTCAGGGGTCATTACACACCGCGGGCATACCAAACCCGAGGGGCATCCACACTCAGCGGGGCATCACACACCAACGGGTCACCCCTCAGCGGTCTCACAACCAAAGGGTTCACACTCAGGGGGCATCACACACTCAGCGGTCATCACACACTCAGGGGGGCATTACCATCAGGGCATCAACCCAGGGTCATCACACCTCAGGGGTATCAACATCAGCGGTCTCACACACTCAGCGGGTCATCAAAATCAGGGGTCATCCCCACCAGCGGGTCATTCCACCTCAGCGGGTTTATCACCCCTCGCGGGTCATCAACACTCAGCAGTCATCACCCACCGCGGGTCATACACATCACGGGGCATCAAAACACTCGCATCATAAACCCCCTCAGCGGGGGCATCACACCTCAGCGGGTCATCAAAACTCAGCAGGGCATCAACCTCAGGGGTCATCAAAACTCAGCGGGTCATCACACTAGCGGTCCTCACACTCAGGGGTATCACACACCAGCGGGTCTCAACACCGCGGTCATCACACACCAGCGGGGCACCACATCAGCGGGTCTCACATAGGGGGTCATCAAACCAGCGGGGCAAACAAACTCAGCGGGGCATTACACTCAAGGGGCTACACACTCAGCGGGTCATCCACACTCAGCGGGCATCAACACCCCGCAGGCTCACACATCGCGTATCACACACCACGGGGCATCAACACTCAGCGGCACACACTCAGGGGTCTCACACTAGCGGGTCACAACATCACGGGGCATCACACACCAGGGGTCATCACACACTCGCGGTCATCACACCCAGCGGTCAACACACCAGCGGGGGCATTTAACACCGGGGTCATACCACCAGGGGTCATCACACACTCAGGGGGTTCACACCTCGCGGGTCATCACCACTCAGGGTCATCACACATCGAGGTCTCACACCCAGCGGGGCTCCACACTCAGCGGGTCATCACACACTCGGGTCATCAACTCAGGGGTCTCACACTCGGGGTCATCCACACCGGGGTCATCACACACTCAGGGTATCACACCAGCGGTCATACACACCAGGGGTCATTCACATGGGGTCATACACACTCAGGGGTCATACACACTCAGGGGGGTTACACATTGCGGGGATCACCACTCCAATTTTCACACACTCAGGGGTCATCACACATCAGCAGGGTCATCCACCAGGGGGTCATCACATCAGCGGGGGCTCACACACTCAAGGTCATCAAAACACTCGGGGTCATCACCATCAGCGGGTCCCCACACTCAGCGGTCATCAACCCGCGGGCACCCCAAAACTCAGGGGTCATCACACACTCAGCGGGTTATAACTCCCCCAGCTGTCATCACACCCAGCGGGTCTACAAAATCGGGTCATCACACTCAGCGGGTCTCCCCCCGGGTCATCACACACTCAGGGGGATCCACACTCAGCGGTCATACACATCAGGGTCATCAAACTCACGGGTCTCACAAATAGCGGTCATCACACACTCAGGGGTCATACACATAAGGGGGTCACAAACCTCAGCGGTATCACAATCAGCGGGGGGCATCACACACTCGGGGTCATAAACCCTCACGGTCATCACACACTCAGCGGGGTCATCACACCTAAATATCAAAACTCAGGGTCCTAACACCGGGGTCATCCCCCACTCCGGGGGCACCTACACTCAACAGGTCACCACACCAGCGGGTCATCACCCCACTCACGGGTCATCCACTCAGCGGGGCTCCCCACCAGCGGTATCACCACTCAGGGGTCATTAAAACCAGAGGTCATACAACTCAGCGGGTCATCACACATCAGCGGGTCATCACACACCCAAAGGGGCATCAACACTCAGCGGGCCACCACCAGGGGTTCACCCCACTCAGGGGTCATCACACACTCAGGGGTCATCAAACTCAGCGGGTCCTTTTAACTCAGGGGTATCACACACCACGGGGCATCACACACATGGGTCTTTTCCCCTCAGGGGTCTACAACCAGGGGTCATTACACACTAACGGGTATTACACACTCAGGGGTCATTCAACTCAGTGGGCATTCACATCAGCGGTCTCACACAACCAGTGTCTCACACCTAGGGGGATCACCACTAGGGTCATCACACAGCGGGCAACCAAGGGGTCATCACCCCCCTCAGGGGGTTACACACTCAACGGTCATCATTTCACGGCACAACACCTCTTACAACCTGCTCGCAACACCTAGCTCTTAAAAGGGGTAAAAATAGTTTTTCCTCCTTTCCAAATAGTGGGGTTTTGGGGTTGAGGGGTTACCATTGGGGTTTTCACATCAGGGGTTATTTTGGGGTATTTTGGTTTAAATGGGGGTTTTGGGGGTATTTAAAAAGGGGGTTTTTGGGTTTGTTTTGGGTTTTAGGGGGTTAAAATGGGGTTTGGGGTTAAAAAGGGGTTTTAAATTGGGTATAAAAAAGGGGTATTAGAATTTTGTGGGTTTGTGGGTTTGGGGTTTTGGGTTATAAAATAGGGGTATAAAAGGGGGGGGTATCACAAACTCAAGGGTCCAACACTCGCGGTCTCACTAGGGGTCTCCCACTCGTGGCATTATACACTCTATCAAAATAGGGGTCATACCACTTGCTCATCAACACTCAGCGGTCTCCACCTTCCCGCGGGTCTCAACCCCAGGAGTTTTTTCCCCTCATGGCACACCCTCATTTGGTCATCCCCGGGGTATCACATAGGGGTCATCCCCTCTGGGTCATCCACCTCACAGGGAAACAACCCCTGGGTCTTACTACTGTGGGCTTACCTCAACAGTCTACACACCAGGGGTTCCAACCGGGGCATTTACAATAGGGGTACAACACAGTGGGTGTCAAAACCCGGACGGGGATACCATTGCGGGCCCCTAGTATGTGTGTGTGAGTGTTGTGTGTGTGTGTGTGTGTGTGTGTGGTGTTACCATTTTGTCCTAGGCACATGTCGAGTGTGTGTGTGTGTGTGTGTGTGTGTGTGTGTGTGTGTGTGTGTGTGTGTGTGTGTGTGTGTGTGTGTGTTGTGTGTGTGGTGTTTGTGTGTGTTGTGTTTGTGTGTGTGTGGTGTGTGTGTGTGTGTGTGTGTGTGTGTGGTGTGTGTGTTGTGTGTGTGTGTGTGTGTTTGTGTATGTGTGTGTGTGTATGTGTGTGTATGTTTGTGTATGTGTGTATGTGTGTGTATGTTGTGTGTGTGTGTGTGTGTGTGTGTGTGTGTGTGTGTGTGTGTGTGAGTGAGTGAGTGAAGTGAGTGTGTGTGTGTGTGTGTGTGTGTGGTATCACCTAATTGTACTCACCTAATTGTGGTTGCAGGGGTCGAGACTCAGCTCCTGGCCCCGCCTCTTCACTGATCGCTACTAGGTCCTCTCCCTCTCTGCTTCCTGAGCTTTGTCATACCTCTTCTTATAACTATGTATGGTTCCTGCCTCCATTACTTCACTTGCTAGGCTATTCCACTTCCTGACGACTCTATGACTGAAGAAATACTTCCTAACGTCCCTGTGACTCGTCTGAGTCTTCAGCTTCCAGTTGTGACCCCTTGTTTCTGTGTCCCCTCTCTGGAACATCCTATCTCTGTCCACCTTGTCTATTCCCCGCAGTATCTTGTATGTCGTTATCATGTCTCTCCTGACCCTTCTGTCTTCCGGTGTCGTCAGTCCGATTTCCCTCAACCTTTCCTTGTAAGACATTCCCCTGAGCTCTGGGACTAGCCTTGTTGCAAACCTTTGTACTCTCTCTAACTAAGTTCTTGACCTGCTTGACCAGGTGTGGGTTCCAGACTGGTGCTGCATACTCCAATATGGGCCTAACATACACAGTGTACAGTGTCTTGAACGATTCCTTATTAAGGTATCGGAACGCTATTCTCAGGTTTGCCAGGCGCCCGTATGCTGCAGCAGTTATTTGGTTGATAACTGCTGCAGCATACGGGCGCCTGGCAAACCTGAGAATAGCGTTCCGATACCTTAATAAGGAATCGTTCAAGACACTGTACACTGTGTATGCTAGGCCCATACTGGAGTATGCAGCACCAGTCTGGAACCCACACCTAGTCAAGCACGTCAAGAAGTTAGAGAAAGTGCAACAAGGCTAGTCCCAGAGCTCAGGGGAATGTCGTACGAGGAAAGGTTGAGGGAAATCGGACTGACGACAATGGAGGACAGAAGGGTCAGGGGAGACATGATAACGACATACAAGATACTGCAGGGAATAGACAAGGTGGACAGAGATAGGATGTTCCAGAGAGGGGACACAGAAACAAGGGGTCACAACTGGAAGCTGAAGACTCAGACGAGTCACAGGGACGTGTGTGTGTGTGTTTGTTTTATATATTAAATGACTGGAATGAACTTCTCCACAGTGAACTAGGATCTCAATAATGCAGACTAATTATTTTCTTAAATGTTATCGTCAGTATGCCATTTGCATCCATGGTGAGTCTTGTGACTATGGTGAGTGGCGTGACTATGGTGAGTGGTGCGACTATGGTGAGTGGTGTGACTATGGTGAGTGGTGTGACTATGGTGAGTGGTGCGACTATGGTGAGTGGTGTGACTGTGGTGAGTGGTGTGACTATGGTGAGTGGTGTGACTATGGTGAGTAGTGTGACTATGGTGAGTGGTGCGACTATGGTGAGTGGTGTGACTGTGGTGAGTGGTGTGACTATGGTGAGTGGTGTGACTATGGTGAGTAGTGTGACTATGGTGGGTAGTGTGACTATGGTGAGTGGTGTGACTATAGTGCGTAGTGTTAGTATGGTGGGTAGTGTGACTATGGTGAGTATGGTGACTATGGTGAGTGGTGTGACTATGGTGAGTGGTGTGACTATGGTGAGTGGTGTGACTATGGTGGGTAGTGTGACTATGGTGGGTAGTGTGACTATGGTGGGTAGTGTGACTGGTGGGTAGTGTGACTATGGTGGGTAGTGTGACTGGTGGGTAGTGTGACTATGGTGGGTGGTATTACCATGGTGGGTACAACCAACACAGGTTCAGAGACTCCTTGTGGCTGCCCCAAAGCTGAGTGTTCACAATTTACCAATTTTACATCCATATCTGATGAGGGCATCAAACCACGAGAAACCTCTGGTACTCTAAGTTAAACATTTGCTCAAAACTTCTTCAAGCACTTAACAGGTAATAACTATCATCTAACCAAACTGGGAGACTGTGCATCACTTTCAACTAAGCTATACTAGGATTCACCCCAGTCAACACACACACATGACGTAGAGAAGGGCACTATATATAATATATATAATATATATATATATATATATATATATATATATATATTATATATATTATATGATATATGAATAAGTATTGGTTTCAACATTATAACTACATCCATTAAATATTTTGTATTTATAACTATGATAACTATGCACGAAGGTATCCATATATACAAAGATTGGCTTTAAAAACTGTACATTACACATCAAGACTAGTTGGTAAAGGGACTAGCTTATATCTCTCATAACTGGATGTCTAGCGACTCACTCATGTGATGTACTCAGCTTACTCACCCTCGGCACGTTATTCAGGTTGATGCGTCAATCTATTTTTGTTGTTTTTTGATGTCCCAGATGATCGCTTCAAATCTCTCTTCAATGTTTTTAGAAACTTTCCAATGCCGAGTTTCTTTCTCCCGTTACCCCCGCGATTCACATCTGTAAGAGAAAACATGGGTGTGAAAACATCGTAGAAAATGAGCCATTCCATGGTACCAACAAGCGTACACTAAACAAATCTTAAACAATAATTTCTTTTTTTTCGTAATTATGTTTATTCGGGTACAGGAACTTAAATGCGTTACTAGTTTACGTACACGCATAATTTAAAAAATAGATAATCCAAAAAAGTAATGATTTAGTTCGGTCCCCCCGTGGCCTGGTGCTAAAGCTCTCGCTTCACAGGGCCAGGGTGGAAAATTGGGGTTTTTTTTAATGGGTTGTTATGTTCACGTCAGTAAAAAGGATACCGGGGTTTTATCGACTGGTGTGGGTGTATCCTGGGAAAAAAATGCCCAAAGTTGCCCGAAAGCTTAGCTAACAAGTGGCTTTCTTTTATAGTAGACTCTTTGATGTCACTGGGACTGTATACCATGTACAGTATTTTAAAAAAAAGATTATTTTTACTTTTATTATTATTATTTTATTATTATATTATTATTTATTTTTATTTTGTTGTTGTTTTTGTTGTTGTTGTTGTTGTTGTTTTTGTTGTTGTTGTTTTTTAATTATTCCACTGTGCTCCTTGTGATAAGTATTATTTATATTTAAAAGTTAAAACATAAGAAAATTAACAGGGAAAAGTAGTAATAAAAAAAGGGGACATCCCAGGGGAAGGAAATTCAGTTATTTACTTTAAAACTTTTAAAGAGAGAATAGATCACAGTACACGAGTACTGTTGTTAATGTACAAGAAATCACTCTTTCCCTTATGTACCATACTCTTAGACCTTTTGGCTCTCTTCTTCAACGGGCTCTTTGCTATCCCGGTTAGCATGAAAAAGCAGTTATTCCATCCTTTACTTTAAAAATTCGTGTAGCAGGGGCCTAAAAAAAACCAAATTTAAAATTACTGTTTTAATATCGAGTACACGTACCGATAGGTACTATCTCAGTATGGTGGTGTGTGGTGTGTGTGTGTGTGGGGTTGTGTGTGTGTGTGTGTGTGTGTGTGTGTGTGTGTGGGGGTGGGGGGACCCCCCAGGAACCCCCCCTCCACCCGCATATTACGAGTCGTTATTTGTCGGAATTACTAAATCCCTCAAATGTTAGTGGAAGTTTTAGCAAAAAAAGACAAAAAACCCCAACCCCTTGTCATTGTGGTTGTAAAAAACTCCGGAGGGAACCCCCTAACAATTCCCCAGGGAAAATGTTTATAAATTAAATACTGTCTGGAAAGTCCCCCATCCCTGCCCAAAATTTTGGGTAATTTAATTAAAACACCCAAAATTCAGGAAATGTACAAAAATATTTTAGCGAGATAACCCCCGGAGGACTCAGATGAAAGTTACACACACCGAGTATTAACACTCTGCAAAAAATTCCAAAACCCCAGCAAAATGGGACCCAACAAGATGAAAATACATTTGCCTCATCTTCACTAATAATAAGATGCCCTAGTATGAAATATAAATGTAAAGTTTCAAAGACAATACATCGATACAAAAAAATAGAGTATCACATGATGCGCGGGGACTCCTGCCACGAAGGTGATCATTTACGAGCTCCCTTTCCCCCCAAATTCGCTTAAATAAAAAAACATACAGGGGGACAAATAAAATATGTCCTAGAAAAGATAAGATTGTTCGGTTTTTTAAACCCCCGGGGGGTTAGCCACCCGGGTAACCCAAAAAAGTAAAGGGCATCGGGACTTTTAAATATTTCTTTGGGGGCCCTTTAATCTTGTCCCCAGGGGCCCACCCCATCGACAAAACCCCCCGGTCCCTTTTTGAGGTGAACCGGGAAAATAGGTGAAAGGGAAACGGTGGGGAAATTTCCCCACCCCCCGGGGAATCAAAACCCCGGGGCCCTCCGTGTTAAAACGGAGTTTTTAGCCACCAGGCCCCGGGGCCCACAAAACAAAGGGGAATTTTCCAAAAACAACACGGATGGGAACCTTTGCCTAGACAAAATTTAAACCCCTGGGCATTGAGGTATGCTCAAGGCACTTCTTTCAGGAAAAAAAAAAGAGATGAAAACTAGAAAGAGAGACTCCCTATACAGGCAAAGTCAAAAATCACAGAGCTGTGAAGGGTCATAATCTGAAATACGAAAAAAAGGGAGGGGTCAAAAAATAGCAAATTTCGACGAAGTTTAAAGGAAATATACAAGAGAAAAGAAAAAAGGGAAGAACAGAGTCTAAAAAAATTTGGGAAAAAAAAAAAAAACAAAAATAGCTTTTTTTAGCAAAATTGGGGTAAAACAATCTCCAGTTTTGGGCCCCCCTGCTTAAACTAATGGATTTTACCAGATGCAGCAAAAAATGAGTGAGATATTAAAGTCCTAGAAACTTAGTGTTTAGTGACCCATTAATCAAAAAGAGCGACATCGGAAATTTCAAAAAAACTGATATTATCCTAACACCACAAGACTTGGCCATGCACTTGCCCCGGCCAGACGTGGAACCCTTTCATCAAGAACTGCAAGAAGCCCTTTCACGACCTTAATCTTCTATGGGGAAGAAGGCCAGGGATCTCCCAACATAAAAACAACGTACACCCCCCACTTTCAAAAAGGGGGCAAAAAAATGCAAAAAATTACAGACTGATGCACTAACTCCCACATCAAAAACTTTTTGGAAGGGTTCTAAGAAGAAAGATGGGCCAACCCCTAGATCCCTATCAGTTGCCCCCCTAGGGCAACATGGGTTTAGAGAGGTGTGCTGCCTATCAAAACTACTGGACCTTTATAAATGGTCTTGGATGCTTGGAGGAAAAAAAAAATAAAATTAGTTACACAACTTGCAAAAAACCTTCACAAGTGCTCACAGTGTAACAGCGCAAAAAATGCGTGTAAAGGAAAAACAGGCAAAGTTGGGACATGGATCTTTAAATTCCTAACAAACGAACATAAAAGTAAAGCAAAACACTTCCCGAGGGGCATACAGTGAAAAACTCTGTTCCACAAGGGACAGTACTGGCTCCCATCAGCTCTCATTTTCCATATCTGAAAATAGACAGAGATGTAAACTACAGCACCTGTCCTCCTTTGCAGTGACACCTTTAATTTTCTGACGTGTCATCCACGAAGACCTTAAACCCTTAAAAAGGACATCAACCAATTTTAAAAGGGCCACAGAAAAAAATGTGAATTCAAGAAGAAAAATTTTTTTTTACCGCTTGGCAAACTCGAGGAAAAAAACTGTATCGAGTATAAAACAAAATCAACCCCAATAACAAAGCAAAAATCTAATGTGGGTCGGGAGTGACAGTGTCAGAAATTCACTTTCAAAAAATCACAAAATGTTCTACCAATTCAAGGAAAATAAGAATGGTAATGGGAAACCCTTTAAAACTAGGGGGGCCAAGCCCATTAAAATTCTCTTCAAAAAGTTTTTTTGTCTAGGGAATACTGCTTTACATAACGACCCCCCTTTAAGAAGGAAAAAATTTCAGACCTTGAGAAATTTTTGAGAACTTTCACGGAAGTTTACGAAAAAAAAACCTAAATTACTGGAAACTGTTGAGTCCCTTTATTTGACTTCCTGAAAAACCAGGCGGAAATACATGATAATTTAAAAATTTTGGAAAATTCAAAAGGATCTATCCAAATCTGCACACGAAAATTCCCAACAAAAGCATATGATTCGGCAGGTAGTGCAAATCCCCCCCCAGTAAAAAACAGGGCGCCACGGTCACAGAGACAAACAGTAAGTATCGGGGCCAAGATTGTTCAAAAGCCTCCAGCATACATAAAAGGGGTTACTAAAAAGACCCCCGGGTATCAAACCCGGGGTGAAGTTGTACGTCGGTTTACGTGGGGCACAGCAACAATGGTTGATAGACACTGATCCACACGAGGCATGGTCACAACCGGGCCCCCGGGGGTGTTTCCCCCCCCGAAACCCCCTCCCAAATATATACCCCCCACGTGAGCCTTTACAGCACCCGGAACCACCTCCCCACCCCGCCCCAGTGGAGCCTTGCGCACCAGGGGAACCCCCCCCCCACCCCCCCCACAGTGGAGCCTTGACAGCACCGGGAACCCACCCTCCCCCCCCCCAAAGGGAGCCTTTACACACCAGGAACCACCCCACCCACCCCCCCCAAAGTGGAGCCTTGACAGCCAGGGAACCCACCCCCCACCCCCCCAGAGTGGGCCTTGACAGACCAGGGGAACCCCACCCTCCCACCCCGCAAAGTGGAGCCTTGACACACCAGGGAAACCCCCCTACCCACCCCCCCCACAGTGGAGCCTTGACACCCCGGAACTACCCTCCCCCCCCCCCCGCCACAGTGGAGCCTTGACACACCCGGAACCCACCTACCCACCCGCCACAGTGGGGGGCCTTGACACACAGGAACCCACCCTCCCCCCCACCCCCCCACGTGGCCCTTTACAGCCCAGGAACCCACCCTCCCCCCCCCCGCAAAGTGGGGCCTTGACACACCAGGAAACCACCCTCCCCCCCCCCGCCAAGTGGAGCCTTGACAGCACCCGGGAAACCCCCCCTCCCCACCCCCCCCCAAAGAGTGGAGCCTTGACAGCACCAGAACCTACCCCCCCAACCCCCCCACGTGGAGCCTTGACAGCCCAGGAAAACCCCCTACCCCCCCCGCCACATGGAGCCTTGACAGCACAGGAAACCCACCCTCCCCACCCCCCCACAGTGGCCTTGACACACCAGGGGAACCCACCTACCCCCCCCGCCCCAGGGAGCTTGGGCAGACCGGAACCCCCCCCCGCCACAGTGGAGCTTTGACAACCCAGAAACCCCCCCCTCCCCCCCCCGCCAAGTGGGGCTTTGCAGACCCGGAAAACCCCCCCTCCCCCCCCGCCAGAGTGGGGCCCTTGGGAAACCCCGGAACCCCCCTTCCCCCTCCCGCCAGAGCGGATCTTGAAACACCCGGAAACCACCTCCCCACCCCGCCCATGGGGCCTTGACGCACCAAGGAACCCACTTACCACCCTCGCCAGAGGGAGCTTTGACGCACCAAAAT